CTTCAAGTTTTAGGGCCCTCTTTGTTTAGAGTCACAGCCAGCCTCAAACTATGTATAGTGGTCCCTTGGTATCCATGAAAGATTGCTTCCAGGACCCCCACAGATAGCAAAGTCCAATGATTCTCAAGTCCCTTACATAAAATGGCACAACATTTGTATATAGCCTATCCAGATCCTCCTGTGTACTTTAAAATCATCTCTAGATTACTTATGATAGTTAATACAATGTAAGTGCTACATAAATAGTTGTTATACTGTGTTTTTAATTTGCAGTTTAATTTTGTATTTTTTGTTTGTTTTTTTAAAAATATTTTTGATCCATGGTTGGTTGAATCCACAGATGTGGATGGAACCCATGGATATGGAGGGCCAACCATATATTGAGCCATTGCTATGTGATAGGCACCTACTGGGTTTTGGGAACGCAAAGATGAATAAGATATGATTTCTGCCACTAAGTGTTCACAGTCTAGATGGGAAGACAAACATATAAGGAAATCATTACCTTACCTGATAAAACCAGCATGAAGAATACTATAGCATAGGAGAGAATATGAACAGACAAGGACATTTTTACTTAGAGAGAAAAAGATGGAAATAAGGAAGATAGAGAAAGAAAGAGAAGGAAGGGAGGAAGGAAGGAAGGAAAGAAGGAAGGAGAGAAGGAAGGAAGATTCAGGTATAATAAACTTTACTTAAAATGTTGTAACTAGTATTAGGACAATTGACCCTTAATAACACCTTGGATTAATTAAATTCCAATACATTTTAAGTTCCATAAAACTGAAAAAAATAAAATTCAAATAACACAAAAGAGGCTTGAGAGTTAGGGTATAGATCAATGCGTCTAATAGAAATATAATGTGAGGCACCTTTTTAATTTTCTAATAGACACATTTTAAAAAGGGAAAATGGTGAATTCAATTTTAATAATATATTTGATTTAACCAAATACATCTAAAATATTATCATTTCTTTTGTCAAAAACAAGATGAGATAATACAGAGCCTAGGATCAGGTACTGGCAATGAGAACGGAGGAAATTGGGTAGCTCCGAGTGTTATTTAGAGGTAAAATAGGCAGAAGTTTATGACTAATTGGATGGAGAATGAGAGAAGAGGAATGCTGGTGTCTTCAAACCCATGCAGGTTCTTGCTTGAGCAACTGGTAAATGATACTACCATTCACTGAGTCAGGGAACGTAGGAGGAGGGGCAGATGGAAAGCAGCCAGGACAAGAAAGAATAGTTTACTTTTAAAAGGTGAATTTGAGATGCCTGTAAACCTTCAACTGCGTACACATCCAAGGGACAGTTGTATGTATGTGTCTGGTGCTCAGGAGAGAGCATGCACCACGGGGACAGATTTGAGAGCCCTCAGTACATAGGTAGCTGACACCATGGGCATGTCTGAGATTGCCCAGAGAGAACAAGGTGACTGAGACAAGTGCTTGGGCAGAGCCCAGAGCGAAACCAATATTAAGTTATAAGGATCCCTCACCAAAGACCAGCCAGGAGCGATCAGAGGGGTACAAGGAAACCCAGGAGAATGTAAGTCTCAACAAAGAAGGATAGGGATCAGCACTGTCAGGTGCTGCCAGGAAGTCACACAAAATAACAAGCATTGGTCCCCAACCCTTTTGGCACCAGGGACAGGTTTCATGGAACACAATTTTTCCATGGACTGGGGGGTTGGGGGGGGTTCAGGATGATTCAAGCACATTACATTTATTGTGCTGTCAACCCTCTCTGCTAATGATAATCTGTATTTGCAGCCACTCCCCAGTACTAGCATCACAACCTCAGCTCCACCTCACATCATCAGGCATTAGATTCTCATAAGGAGTGCATAACCCAGATCCCTCCCATGTGCAGTTTACAGTAGGGTTCATGCTCTTATGAGAATCTAATGCCCTGGCTGATCTGACAGGAGGCGGAGCTTATGCAGTGATGCAAGCGATGGGGAGTGGCTGTAAACATAGCTGAAGCTTCGCTGGCTCACCTCTTGCTGTGCAGCCTGGCCCCTAACAGGCCACACACTGGTACTGGTCCACAGCCCAGGGGGTCGAGGACTGCTGGTAATGAGAGCAATGTCTTTACAGGATTTGACAGTAGGAAGGTCACGTGTGACTTTGAAGAAAACAGTTTCTATGCAGGGTAAGGACAGAAGTCACATTGCAGCAGACTGAGTTGAGAGGGAAATATAGATAACTGTTCAAGAAGTTTTCTGTGAAAGGAAAGATAGCTAAGTGGTAACTATTGGATATCAAGGATGATGTATCTATTGATATATTATGAGGGAAGGTTTTCATGATGGAAGACACTAGACCCCATTTAAAGGCTATTGGAAAGGAACCATTAAAGCTGTACAATTGACTATTTTGTTGATCTGAAAAAAGGTTAATGATATATTGTTAACTGAAATGAGATCATGACTGAAAAAAGTGTTTTATGTGTGCATATATTTATGTGCACATGTACACATAGATAACATTCTGGAAGGTATTAACCATATTTATCTCTGAGTAGGTAGACTAATATATTTTTATTTTTTATTCTTTTTCTTAATCTGAAGTTTTTATTATAAAATGTATTGTTTTGTGATGCAACCAATGCAATAAACTAAAGACTTCCATTTTCAGAGAGTCCCCCTGCCTCTACATACTATGGTCCTGAAAGTATGCTGACAATAGACTTCATTCCAGTTTGATAAAATACATTATAAAATTTGCAATCATGATTTTTTTCTCATACTGCTATCCTTGAGTCCAGGGAGAGGAAGAAACTTTACAGGTATCACGACTGGAGTAGGAGGCAACTACTGACTCAGCCAACCATCCACCGGGTCAGGAAAATCCATCCCGGTTTATTCCCTTCCTCATGAGTGGGCCACCTCTCCCCAGACATTTCTATAGAAGCCAGAGTAGGTGAATGAACCATCTCCAAATCTGGAACTTGGTTGGCAAAACTAAAAGGTATCCAAAATGAGGGCAAGGAAACAACTGTCCTACCCATGACCACAATACAAAGCAGACCTCGATGGCAGGTCAGGGCCCTTGCCCGCCTCAGTGGTGGCAATTAACAGGCAAAAGTCACCATGTGATAGCTCAAGAGCATACTACTATGTTAGAAAGGGTACATAGAAGTATCAATCCAGAATGGATGAAAGTGGTGGTTATTTCAAAGTTGAAAGAATGCAATAAAGATCATGGATATTTTACTTCTACTGTTTTTCTCTTATTTTTTTCATTCCCCTTTTTCTTCTTCTTTCTACTGTCTATGTCCAAATTAGTGTCTTGCATAAGCAATAAATTACAGTATTAGTTATAAGTAGTAGTTTTGGGAGATTTTCTTCTTTACAAAATGGAGAATCTAGCTGCCTTTGGGCTACCGAAGATCCAAGACAGAGATGAAGAATAAACAAGGAGAGCATTAGAGAATCCCACTATCTTTTCTTTGAGGGAAAAAATTAATGATATAATGTGGTCTCATAAAGTTAAAACCCAGAGTATAAAGCTGAACTCAGAGACTCAGTCTTCCCCCACATAATCAAAATTTTGACCTACCCCACTCCCGCTGTTCTCGCTCACATCTGCTCATTCACATGCACGTCACACAAATGCTAAGTTGGGAACTGCTTCTAGAGGGAAATAAAGGTTCTGCCTCATGTTAGGAGCATGAGCTCTGGTATCAGAATGAACTGGGCTCTAGCCCTAACTCTGCAACCACAACAGCAAGCTCAGAACTTTTCTAAATGTCAGTTTCCTCAACCAGAAAGTGAAGAGAAGAATAGGTCTGTGATGACTACGTTAGATGTCAACTTGACTGGATTAAAGTATACCCAGATAGCTGGTAAAGCATTAAATCTGGGCATATCTGTTCAGGCATTTCTGGAAGAGGTTGGCATTTGAATCTGTGGACTGCGTAAGGAAGATCCTCCCTCACCCAATGTGAATAGGCGCCATCCAATTGGCCCAGATAGAACAAAAAGGCAGAGGAAAGGTGAATTAGCTTGCTCACTCTCTTCTGGAGCTGGAACACCCTTCTTGTCTTGCCCTTGGACACCTGAATTCAAGGTTCTCTGGCCTTTAAACTCAGGGACTTACACCAGTGCCACCTCCCCAACCCCCAGGTTCTTGGGCCTTCAGCCTCAGACTGAGAGTTAGACCATCAGCTTCCCTGGTTTTGAGGCCTTTGGACTTGGACTGAGCCACACCTGTCAGCTTCCTTGCTTCTCCAGCTTGCAGACAGCCTACTGGGGGACTTCTCAGCCTCCATAATCTCGTGAGCCAATTCCCCACATAAATCTCCTCTCATATATCTATATCTGTATATACAAGGGTTGTCCAGAAAGTATCCATCCCTTGTTAATATAATAAATATCTCTATTTTTCATATTACATGGCTGGATACTTTCCAGACAGCCCTGGTGTCTCTAGTTGGTTCTATCTCTCTGGAGAACCCTGACAAATATAAGGTCCCACCTCAGAGCGGTGAGGATTATTTTAAGTAATGCATCAAAGCATTCAACATAGTACTTGGCATGTTAATTACCAGTTCTCCCAAAATGATGGCCATTAGACGTACTTACATAATTACTTCTAATAAGAAAGTAAACGCAGAGTCACACCAATAACTTTTATTATATTTAAGATGATTTGTGAGGTTGACGTGGAAGAAGGGTTAGTGAAGATATGTGGGTGGCTCTTTAAATATCCTTTTTACATTTCCAAAATTTTCCTTATTCTATGAAAATGCCTTTTATTCTCTTTATTCCCATAAAAGGCCCACAAGGCGGATGACACTTTCAACTAAGATGCCAGCAAGTGGGGTATGACGCAAGTCGTCTTGAGGAGCAGCCTCATACCCTCCCCCTTCAGTCACTCAGCGTCTGCAGACACTCTTCACGGCTGTTCCCACCTCCCCACCAACGTGCTGAAATGGTGTGTCAGGGCTCACAGAAACCGAGTAGCATTTGATGCCATGATGTGGAAGCAAAGTATTATTCAGGCCCCTTTTCAAACAGGGGAGCCATGCATGCTTCTCTGGGTTCTTCTTTCCTAGAGCTCCTTCCTTCCTCTACTTTCTTTTGGGATCTTATCTCCATCCGCAGGCGTTCTCTTTCATTTCTCTCCTTCCTGCTCTCAGGTCCCTGAAAAAAAAAGGATCAGAAAAGGGTAGAAATGCACCAGCTGCTGACAACACTTCATGTTTCTCTTAACAATAAGCCATGAAGAAAGCCCTGATCGTTTAGCAGACTTCCACATCTTCGGTTCTAGAAATAAATTAGCATAAACCTAAAAGTGTTGCTAACGGTTTTAGTCACAAAGAAAAGGAATAGAGGGCTTGAGCATCAGCAGACAATCTGGGAAGGAAGCTCAACCTGCACATGACTGTGACTCTTTGCTTCTGACAAACTGAGGGATGTGATTTCCTGGCTTGATGAAATTAATGGTCTTCTGGTGCTTTTTGAAAAGGAAAGTGGCACGTGAGACCACACAGGGAATGGTTCTAACTCCCCTGTGTTCACTCCGTAAAATTACGTTAATAATAGGGTTTGCACTAGATTTTAATGTGAGGATTGTGTGAAGAATGAAATGCTGAGGAATGACATTCAACCAGATAAACCTTCCAAAACGGGTTGCCCTGGGGGTTCCATATTTCTTCCCTGATTTATTGAATGCATATTGTTATTCTAGGATCAGGAGAGATGACACTAAATAGACCTTATTTCCTAAATAAGCCTAAAAGGAAATGAGAAAATAATTAATAGCACAATGATAACTATAAACTGGGTGATATGATAAAGGACTATGGCAGTCACGTGAGCAAGGTCAGCACGCAGCTACGCAAGTTGACAGTTACGGAGATGTCTGGTCACTGCAGTGGTGTCAGCTACTCTACAATGTTAAATTCTTATTATACCTGGATTGTTTCATTTCTATTCTTAGTAGTTCATTGATTAAAGTCAGAAAGCAAAACAAACAATGAAGCAGAGATACAAGTTAAGAGGAACTTAAAATGTGTACTAGCTCTGTAAGCATGTCTCCACATGATTTCCATTAGATTCATCACTTGCACTCATCTGATCAAAGTTCGTATTTAGCAGTCATGTATAAAAAGAGAAAACATCGTGATGATCATTTCCAATCTGGCTTTTGCCTTATTGAGAATAAAGACTATCTAAGAAATGCTCATAAATAATGATCTAAAATATATTTTCTTATCACATCACTTAGAAACAAAATGTGAAAATTTTCAAAATAAGCCAGTTGCATTTTTCAATATCAAAATGGAAGAATTTATTGTTGTTGGTCATTATCGGTCCACAAAAGCAGTTTCTGGCTCTTTTTGATGCCAAAATATGTAAAATTTAAGTCTAGATATTAGTATACATTTGGTCCCCAAATAAAAGATAATATATATCATTTTTTAAATTTGTTGACAAATCACACTTTTTAATGTAGTTAACTTTAGAAAAATATGTAGGTTGCAAAAAGTTTAAAAGTACCTGTATATGTTCTGAATTTTTAATTTTGCTTTAAGATAAATTTGATAATATCTCTTTAAAAACTGATATAAAATATTTAACTTTAAATCAATTATTATATAATATAGAAACTTTTAAATGATTTTATAAATTCCTAACAGGTTTCTCAATATTACATACAACTGTGGAAAGAGTTGTTGAGTCAAAAAAGTTGAAAAACTTCCCTTGATTATCTTGGACCTCAAAAGGAAGAACTTGGAGAATAAATGGAACAAACGTAGTTTATATTTTAGAGATAATGTGATGAATATGTCTTTAATTAAGCAAACTGACTCTATGTTTACATACTTCTAGGGCTTATAATATTAGCGAATGGATTTCAAATAAGCAATTATATGAGTATGAGTTCTTACATAAAAGTTTTTCCGAAGCCATCAGAATCAATAAAGAACAGCTCAGCTTAACATTTTTTTCAAGAGATATTTATGCCCTACCTTGTTTCAGGAAGGATTTAAAGCAGGTACATCTCCTGAATTGATACACATTTTAACATGTCAATTTTAAAACAGGAATTCTTTCACTTCTGTTTTATTCCTGCTACAAGTTCATAATCTGAATCTAATCATGAGGAAATATCCCAAATTAAAAGTTATCCTAAAAAATAACTGGCCTGTAGTTTTCACAAAATGCCAATGTTGTGAAAGACAAGGTAGACTAAGAAACTGCTCCGGAATACAATAGATTTTAGGGACATGAAAATTGGTCACAACACATGATCTGGAATTTCACTATAAAAACTGTTATTGGGACAACTGACAAAAAATATAAATAAGGTTTATAGATGAGATTTAATAGTATTGTAATAACATCCTGAGTTCAATTATTGCATTGTGTTTATGTAAGAGAATGTTCTTGTGCCTTTATTTGGAGATGGGAAGGAAAGAGAGGGTGTAGGCAAATATGATAACACGTTAACATTTGAAGGGAATCTAGGTGAAGAGTATATGGGAATTCTTTGTCCCATTCTTGCAACACTTCTCTAAGTCCGAAACCTTATCAAAACAAACAATATAAAGAAAAGACCAAATAGGAGTTCTTAATAATAAGGTTTAGATACCGTAAATGACAACTGTTCACTATTCTGCCTTCCTTATTCCTCTTATGATCAAGTAGAGAGAGAAGCCTACCAAAAGGGAATCATAGATAGGTAAGGTCACTCTGCAAGGCAAAGACGCACAGTGACAGTCTCAACAGCCAGGCTGCTAGGTAGACAGCACTCACTGTGCTCAGATGGACAAAGAAGTAGGAAACACCCAAGTGTTTTCACCTGTGCATTCAGAGTCTGGCTCAAGAACCAGGAGTCAATAGTCTCAGGTTTAATTACTTGCTTTGCCTACTACGTGGCAGCAACCTATTATTATTCCTGTTTTGCAACATACAACAAAAAACCAAAGACCTACAACAAGGAAGTATTTTTCTCAAGGCCATTCAGTGAGCATATTGCAGAGTTGAAACCACCCCCAAATTAACTGATCTCTAGTATATCACTTTATGCGTCGAGTTTGGCATCATCCGTGGAGTTTCCTTTCTTTTGCCCATTTCAAGTCTATCTCTCCTTTGTGCTTTCCTTAGACTCCCAGGAGGTCATTGTGAGCACCGGACCACTCCTACTCTTGGATAACTTGCTAGACTGTCCAGAGAGTTCCTTCTGTATGTGATTTTTTAAAAGTACAAGGGAAACCAACCCCATCATAGACTGTTTGCTAGTGAATTAAATTTGAAAGGAGAAGAGTCTTAGGAGAAATTTTTCTTTTCTTCAAATAATAAAAGGAGAATGAGTCACAATTACTTATAATTAGGTTGATGAAAGCAGGCTCAAAGAATTAGAGGACCTTGGAATTCTTCCTACACCAGAAGTCTTGAATAAAAATAATAATTACAAAATTTTGTTCCTCTGAGCTATCTTAAACTGTCATTTTTTTCAAAGATCTCATCACTACACTGTAAATGAAGGAGTTAGATTTGTTCTCCTCAAACTTGAGGAGGATAAACTCTTTGGGTTTCCTTTTCTAAAGTAGCTTAAATAGCCAACAGCTCTGTTACATACCAAAGATGCAGAACGTTTGGTTCTAAAGCACAGTTGCTGTTCAAAGGAATCTGAAAATTCCTGAACTCTGGAATGGGATCTTCCTTTTGATGCCAGTGGCTCCTTGAATGACCCATCTCCTGAGTATTTTCTGTAATCCCGCATGTGGGTACAGCATTGGAATTCCTGGTCCTCATGAGAATGCCTTCTAGGATGGTGGTCAGATGATGTAATTCTGGAAAGCATATTCTGGGAATACAGAATAAAAAATTTTACAATATAAAGAGACTATACAATGTCAGCACAGAGGCAGAATGTCTATAAACTAAACAAATTTCACGTTGAAATGAAATGTTATCTTCTTGATCAATGATCTTTCTCCTAAGAAGAGGCAGCAGAGTCAATTTGTTAAAAGATTAAGTAGAATCTCCCAAGACTAGCTTTGTTGCTTGCTACTCCACCATTAGGACATTAAAATGAAGCACTCCAAATCCTAAATTGATATATAAAAATAAATTCCAAAATGATTTTTTTAAATATTCTAATGAAGCCACGAATGTTTAAGAAATAATATAAAGGTGAATATTTATGTAATTTCTATATGGAGAGGGAATCTCTAAGCAAAAGAGCAATGGAAGAAGTCATAAGGAAAAAATTAATTTAACTATATAAAAATAAAGCCAATGAGTATCCAAAGCAACATAAACAAAATTAAACCATAAATGAAGAAACTAAAAAAAAGTGCTACATATTATTAATGTTTAATAAATATCCATCTCACACAAACAAAGAAGCCATAAAATACAATGACATCAATGTTAAAATTTCAGTTGGAAAATGAGCAGTGGACAGACAGTCTAGAGAAGCCAAACTTCTTGAAAGAATTATGACACTTGCTGTCTCAATTTCTCTCACTCTCCAACCCACTCCAATCTAGCTCTTGCACCCATAGTTAATTTTGGTCAGGATATTAGTCTCCATATTGCCAAGTTCTGTGCACTTTTTGGTCTTTATCTTAATGATTCAGTAGTATTCAACTCAAGTGCCCACAGGACCTTTCTGGAAACACTTTTTCCTTGTCTTCTATCACTGCAACCTCTTGCTTCCCTTTGATCTTTCTGCCACTGTGATTTAGACATTTGTGTTTACTTTTTCCTTCTATCAGCTCATAACTGTTGGAGTCCCCCAAGGTTCTAGACTAGTCTTCTTTCCCTACCTTTCCTTTCTCACTTTTGCACTGTCTTCCTAAATATCTCATCCCTAGGCTTCAATTGCTAGCTATAATTTGATTTCCTAATATATATCATTAACCCAGGCTTCTCCTCTGAGCTTCTGCTCATTCAGTGTCTCCTCTTGGTGTCCCATAGGCACCCAACTCAGCTTGTCCAAATCTGAACTGATCATCTCTGCTCCCCAAACCTGCTCCTCCAGCATCCCCTAACTCAGAAAATGGCACCACCATTCACCTGGTTACTCAGGCCGGTAACTCAGGAGCCATCCTCCACACCCAGTTGCTGCATGGGCAGATTCCACCACTCAAGAGTCTCTCAAAACTATATGCTTCTTTCCAGCACCATTATTACTGTCTTTGTCCAAGTCATCATTATCTTTTATCCAGATTACAGCAATCGCCTCCTAATAGTGGATATTGTGTATCCACTCCCACTCCCTTTATTTCATTGTTCCCACAGCAGCCAGAAGGGTTAAAACAGCAGCAAACTCACACCTGCTCACCCTTTCACTTTGTACCTCATCTTGCACCACCGCACCTCTTCAGTGACACAGCCTCACTGGTCTTTTGTCAGTTCCTCCAGTTCGCCTGATCCTGCACAGCACAGGCACTGGCACAGGCAGTCCTCCCGCCCTTGACCTCATCCACCACCCACCCTTTCACCTCCCTAATCACTGAACATCCTTCAGGCACAGCAGAAACTGCATTTCCGCAGAAAGCCTTTCCTACCACTCTGATTGGTTCGCGTCCCTGTTAGATGCTCTCCTGGGATCTCAGATTTCTCCTTTGATATACTTATCACAACTACGAACAGTAATTTGGATAATTTTGTTCAATGTCTCTCCTCTCCATTAGACAGAATGCTCCACCGGTGTACAGCCTTCCTAGAAAGGCTTCGGCAATATGTGTCAAAGAGCTTAAAATATCCCCTTCCTTAGATGTAGCCATTGTGCATTGTTACGGGCTGATTGTGCAGCCCCCAAAATTCAAATATTGAAGCCCTAACCACTAGTAGCTCAGAATGTGACTGCATTTGACCTTTAAAAAGCTGATTAAGTTAAAATGCGATCATTAGGGTGAGCCTCAATCCAATCTGACTGGTGTCTTATAAGAAGAGGAAATTTGCACACAGAGAGTGATATCAGAAGAGCTCACTTGCAGAGGAAAGACCATAGGGGGACACAGTGAGAAGGTGGCCATCTGCAATCAAAAGACAGAGGCCTCAGAAGAAATCTTGATCTTAGACTTCGAGCTTCCAGAACTGTAAGAAAATAAATTCCTATTGTTTAAGCCACCCAGTCTGTGGTATTTTGATATGGCGACCGTAGCAAATGAATACATGTGTCTAGAAACTTAGTCTCAAAAAATAATCAGAAATATGGTTAAAGATTTGTAAAACTGTGAAGATACCTAAGATAAATATGTATGTATTAGTCCATTTACTACAGGTTAGTCATGGGGCTAGGTGCCACGGACAGGGTGGGGAGCAAAGCAGGCACAGTGTCCCCCTCTTGGAGCTTGCGTCTGCATGGGAGACAGATGTTGAACACAGAGGGCCTATGCCTACATCCTCAGCTAAATGCTATAACGGGAAAGTTCAAGGTGCAATGAGAGGTTAGAACAGGGTCAAGCTATGTATATTTGGGAGGGTGTTGGGGGGCCGGGGGAGGGGAATCAGAGGACTTCTGTGAATGCATGAGGATTGAGCTACAATCTGAAGGAGGAACAAGGGTTAATCAGGAGGCAGGGACTGCTTTTCAGCGGGAAGATGAGCACCACAAGGCAGAGGCACTGCCACAGGAGGAGCTTGCTGGCCTGAAAGGAAGCCCTTGGTGGGGATGGGGAGTGCAGAGGACCTGAGAGGAGCCAGGAGGGCTGCAGTGAGGAGGGATTCAAGGAGGGCAGTATCACAAGATTGGCAATGTTCAAATATACCAAACTGCTATCAGAGGTTTTCTCTGTGATGTGCTCTTGTTTTTTCCTTCTTTTTTTTAGTATTTTCATAGTTATCTCTAGTGATCAGGAAAAAACAATAATTATGCCTTAAAATCTTGAGAGTGGGAATGAAATGTGATTTTGTACAAATGTCCTTTTCCATTAAGGAGCCTAAAAAGAATGGCAAGAGTTTTGATCACAACAAAACTAAAGTGTACATTCAAAACTCCTTATGTCAGATAGGTTTTCCAGTTTGTCTCTTTGCTTTGGTGTGTGTGACTTTGTGGGGAATGCACCTAAAAGAGAATTCTAATTGGTTACAGGGAGAAGCTTCCCCTTTTAAAAATGTTTACTTGCCAAGCAAACTCTATTTTTGGAATTTTACATGCCCTTCTAATGTAATTTCCCTCACAAAGACATGAAATAATGTCCTAAATAGCTTAAAATCAGCTTACCCATCAATCTCCCACACCGTGAAGTGGGATCTTCTCGCACTGAGCTAGCCTGGGCTCCTGGGCTACACGGTGTGCACTGCCTTTGGGTGCAATGACTCCCCAGTGCACCGACCCTCACAAAAGAGAGCGCTCTGGACAGCACAGCTGTCTCCACTGTGGCCCCAGAACAACAATCTCTGTCAGAGAAAAATCCTATGCACTCCCTGACCCCAAGTCATAAGTCCTCATTTAAAAAGAAATTGGGTTTTTATGGCAGTGAAACTATTCTGTAAGCTGCTATAATGGTGGATACAAGCCATTATACATTTGTCCAAACCTCTGAAACACACGATGCCAAGAGTGAACCCTAAGGTGCACTGTGGACTCCAGGTGATGATGTGTCAAGGTAGGTCGATTAATTGCAACAAATGCACCACTCTGGAGGGAATGTTAATGATGGGGGAGGCTGTGCATGTGTGGGAGTATGGGGGACATGGGAAATCTCTGTACCTTCTGCTCAGTATTGCTTTGTACTTAACATGCTCTAAAAAAAGAAATATTCTTCTTTAAAAGTGCCAATGAACTTGAAAGGAAGGGGGCAGGGGGAGTTGGTTATGTAATATCTTCACTTCAACAGCTTAACTACTTGATGTTATTTATTCTGGCTTTAATTGCAATCACCCTTCAGTTGTATCCCTCTTGCCCTGGAGCCAAAGGTTAACAGCAAGATGAGACACAATAAGGAGAAAGATCCAGGTGCTGGGATAATAAAACCCATATCGAGTCTTCATGCACAGTATGTATGTACCAGGCACTCTGGAGTACCAGGCACGCTGGGGCCCATGTCCTTGATTGCTAACCTCAGAATAAATTCTATAAGGAAGTGATTCTTCCCCTTTTACAGATGAGGAAAATGAATTCTAGTGAGGCTAAGCCTTGCCTAAGACTTACGTGACTAGTGACTTTATTGGAGAGCCTAAGTATAAGACACCTGCTTCCTAGATTTGCAATCCTAAATCCTTTGTCTTCAATAGCAGCAACAGCTTCATTCTATTTCTATGTGAAACAGCCTGTAAATGTGACTTGTAACAGTGTACCAATTTTAATAGAATTCTATTACAAAAGTAATAATAATCTTAAGGTCTTTAGGAATTAGTCTGAAAGAATTTTGTGAAGAGTATTTTTATCTTAGTCTATGGCTGGGCACAGTGGCTCACGCCTGTAATCCTAGCACTTTGGGAGGCCAAGGCAGGAGGATTGCTTGAGGCCCGGAGTTCAAGATCAGCCTGAGCAAGAACGAGACCCAGTCTCTACAAAAAATGGAAAAAAAAAAATTATCTAGGCTTGGTGGTGTGTGCGCCTGTAGTCCCAGCTACTTGGGAGGCTGAGGCAGGAGGATCGCTTGAGCCCAGGAGTTTGATGTGGCTGTGAGCTAGGCTGACGCCACAGCACTCTGTGGCATAAGTCCTGTTACGGACTGAATGTTTGTGTTCCCCCATCCCCAATTCATATGTTGAAGCCTTAATGTCAAATATGATGGGGTCTTTGGGAGATAGGGTCAACTGAGGTCATGAGGGTGGGGTCCTGGTGTGATAGGATTAATGTCCTTACAAGGACAGACACCAGGCTGGGTGAGATGGCTCACACCTGTAATCCTAGCACTCTGGGAGGCCAAGGTGGGAGGTCTTGGGCAACAGAATGAGACTTTGACTCAAAAAAGAAAAAAAAAGAAATTTATTTTTCACAGTTTTGGAGGCTGGCAAGGTTCAAGGTTCTTGCTAATTGGGCTGGTGAGGAATCTCTTCCTGGCATGCAGATGGCTGCCTTCTCACTGTATCCTCACATGATTTCTTCTTTGTGCTCATGTGGGGAGAAAGAAAAAGAGCAAGTTCTCTGGTGTCTCTTTTATTTTATTTTGTATTTACTTATTTATATATATTTTTTGAGACACAGTCTCACTCCATTGCCTCTGGCTGGAGTGCAGTGTCATCATCATAGCTCACTGCAATCTCAAACTCCTGTGCTCAAGGGATCCTCCTGCCTCAACCTTCCAAGTAGCTGGTACAGATGGGGTCTCGCTCTTGCTCAGGCTGCTCTTGAACTCCTGACCTTAAATAATCCTCCCACCTCGGCCTCCAGAGTGCTAGGATTACAGGTGTGAGCCATCTCACCCAGCCTGGTGTCTGTCCTTGTAAGGGTATTAATCTTATCACACCAGTACCCCACCGTCATGACCTCATTTAACCCTAACTATCTCCCAAAGGCCCCATCTCCAAATACCACCATATTGGAGATTAGGGCTTCGATATATGAATTGGGGATGGGGGAACACAAACGTTCAGTCCATAACAGAATTTATGCCATCTGCCAATCTTCAATATGAAATTACCAACTATTTTCCCATTGTAATATAAAAGAGAAACATTAAAGACAATTAAGGAAAGGGAAAATGAAAATCTCTAGAACTTTCTGTAGGAATTAACTGAAGGCATCTGGAAAAATTTCCACATTTGAAAATTGTGGACAAAGAAGAAGATGAAGGAAGAGGAGTAAAGAAGGAGTTGGAGGAGAGGAAGGAGGAGAAGGAGCAGAAGAAGAAGAGGAGGAGGAGGAGGAAGAAGAGGAGGAAGAGGAAGGAGGAGGAGGACGAGGGCGAGGAGGAGAAATTATTGTTGATACTAGGTACCAGGCACTGCCCTAAGCACTATATATACATTACTGGTTGACTCTTCACAACTTCCTTCTGAGGTATATACTATTATCATCTATCCCATTTACATATGGGGAATTCGAGGCAGGGAGAAGTTAAGCAGCTTGTTCAGAGCTATGCTACTAGTAGGTGAAGGATGCGGGAGGCCAGCTCCAGAGCCCTCGCTCCTAACCACTTCGCTCTGCTGCCTTTCCAGCAACTCCTCCACCTTAGTACCTAGTAATAGAGAGAAAAGTCCGTAGAACATTATGCTAAAAGCTCCCCTACAGAGTTCTCACTAGTGCCTAAAATTCTATCATCAGTTTCATTCCTTTGGATTAAGGAATTGCCCCCTATTAAAATTAAATACAAACGTAACCTGAAATACAAGAAGCCACTACCAATCATGAAACTTTATGGCACCCCTTCTCCCCCCACATTGGTGTGAAATTCCCCAGGGGAGCCATGCCACCAGCCCTGTAGTGAGATACCGTAGGAAAGAATTCTCATTGTTAGAGTAGCCATCCTTAAGTTAATCAAGGATAAAAATTAAAATTGAGAATATCTTTTGCTGCTTTAAATTGAGAATACGGAGAGAGAATAGGAAATGGGAAAAGATAATTTTGAAAAAGAAACCTTGAAAAATTTGAGCACATTTTAGATAGGAAAGTTAAGAACCCAAGTACAGATTCACTTTATAAATATATAGCATTATATAAATGGAGAATGAAGAATTAGACTTCCTAACTATTTTCCAGGACTCTGCCCATATCACCTCTGGGTCCTCTGATTTATGTTGTGTGCCTATAGTCTTTCTACTCTCTTCAATCAGACTGTGATATTTTTAGACTTTTTAAAATTATTATTTTACCTTTTTTTTTTTTAGAGATGGGGTCTTACTATGTTGCCCAGGCTGGCCTCAAACTCCTGGGCTCAGGCAATCCTTCCACCTCAGCCTCCCAAGTAGCTGGGACTACAGGCAGGAGTCATTGCACCCAGCTCAAGATTGAAAGTTTTATACCATGTTTTGTTTCCCTGAATAAACACATGCTTTCTTCATGTTAGTCTGATAATCATGAAATTCATTATTGACTCAGAGAATCTAAACAGGTTAATTCTGGCAAATGCCCACAGCAGGGATGAGCAGAAAAAGATGCCATAAAGTTACCATTTCAAATTTTATACAAAACACTCTCTGTGATTCCCCAATAGTTTAAGGCAAATAACATTGCAACCTAAAAGTGAATCCTCTAAATAGGATGGACTATCTCAGTTTTAAAAGCCTGACAGATGCTAAAGTTTATTCAAGAAACTATATTTTATAAACCATGTTTCTGCCTTTGCTTTCATATTTCCTGTGGCTCTAAGGGGCCATTGTAATAAATAGTAACTCAGTTTTTCTCTTCTTTTATGCCTTGTTCTCACATCTAGAAACTGGATACTAATCATACTCCTGGTTCACATAGTATGAATATCTTACTTAATGTGGAACATAAGAGATTAAAATGAGAAGTGATAAGCCGGGATTTATTTCATAACAGAACATGGAAAGCTAGATCAAGAAGGGTTCTTGGAGATCATCCAGTCCAACACCCTTCTTTTTCAATTAAGGAACCTGAAGCTCAAAGAGGTGTTGAAACTTGCCCTTTGTCCCTGAGTATCCAGTTGGCAAGAGATCTATTTTGAAATATTTGTGTCACAAAGAACTCTCATTTCTCAAACTTGCTGATCACCAGGAGTAAAAGAGGTTGCCTTACACACTTTAATATACCTCACAGGCATTATGCATGTGTGGAGCCTGGAGCTAAAAATAAAGCAACATTGCCAAGTAAAACTTACTTGGTTCTGGGTTGGTAGAAGCAGGGGATTGGGGAAGTATTCTCTGGTTGCTGGAATTCTACATGATTCATGAAAAAGAACAGCTGTATTATTGCTGTGTAACTGTGAAGCAGAAGACATATTTGTCTACTGTGCAATCTTCTAGCACCACAGTTGAGCCATGAAAACTGCTGCCTGTACTTGCTGCCGAGTCCACACCTGGTCAGGCCCCTCTTGAGAGCTTTCCTGGAGCTTCTTGCTCCCCAGACACTGAATGCTCTGCCTAGCCAGAGGAAAACAGAGCTGAGGGCAGGAGAATTTTGACTCCCTCTCCCATCAGAAAACCAAACGAGTTCCCCGAAGAACCAGTATACCAAATTTATCAAAGGTAGTGATTTGTCATATGGAATCCCTAATTCTTTAGCAATTTTCAGCATTTCAAATGGAAATCACACATTGATCCACAATGCTACACAGACTGAGTATGGCATCAAGTTTCTTCTCTTTGGCTTGAATTCTGTCACTTGGTGGGATTATCTCAGGTTTACCAGGAGCTCTAAATAGCAGTTAAAGATATCTCAGATAACTAAAAATGAAGAAATCACTTACCTGTTAGAGGAAAATCAGGTACCTTAAAAGATAAGATAAAATAATAAAAGGGATTTTTATGGGTATAAAAAAGGTTTGGAAGTATTGATTTTAAACCAAAGAAAACTTTATACCAAAAGACTCTTCAAATAATTCTCTAATAGAACCCCCTCCCCTATTGCAGCTCTCCCCTGTTTCCATGACAATAACTCACTGGGCAGGGCAGAGAGGTTTTCCTGTGAATGGTGGCTTGTGGTCGGTGGTGGCGTTCCCGGAGTCCCCTCTCATCCTCCTCTCTCCAGCTGTGCCCCCAGAAGCTGCTCATCCATTTGGCAAAAGACACATCGTCGTCGTCATCATCTTTGTGCTCCATGTGCAGGTGATTCAAAATATCGAAGGCCTGTCCCTAAATCTGACAGAGGGAAATATCACCCAACAAGGCTGACTTGATGAAAACCAGGATCTCCCCCAAAAGACAAAATGAAACTGATATTTTAAAATGGTCTCCGATAATGGCATCCTTGAAGAAAGATTTACTAAACAACCACTTCATCATCAGGCAGCCTTAGGCAATGTCTATTTATAAATTGTGCAGCCCACATTCCCCTCCCCCTTGTCTTTTTAAATTGAGAGGCTTTCTAATCCTTCCATTGCCAGGGCTTGTGCCTCACAGCCTAAGGGTGGGAAGCACAGTCCACTGCCTGGTTTTCCCTGTGCTTTGCTGCCAACGGCATGTGATGGCATCTCCAGCTGTCAATGATGATGGAGCATGACCCGCACAATATGCCTGTCAGCTCCAGGCTAGCTCTGAAATGGGGCCACATGCAAGGAACAGACTAACTGCAGCTTGCAAGGTGGCCAGCTCCAAATATAAATAATGTCCAAGTGCATGCAAAATTTACAAATCTTCAGTGCACAGCTTGATGAATTTTTACATACGTATACCACCATGCAGTTGAAAGCATAGAACACTTTCAGCACCCCAACAGGCTCCGTCTAGCCCACTTCCAATCCATACTCCCTTCGAAAGGTTACCATTTCTGACCTCTGTCACTACAGATTAATTTTGCCTGTTTTTGGACTTTCTTTCAACGGTGTTATACAGTATGTAGTATCTTGTGTCATTCAACTTTATGTCAGAGAGATACATTCATGCTTTTGCAGTAACATTAGTTTATACTGTTGCATTATACTGCATTGTATGAATGTCCCATGATGTTTTTTAATTTAGTCTACTACTGATGGCCCTTTTGTGCTGTCATTTGGGTTATTCCCAGTTGGGGCTATTACTAATAAAGTTTCTATGAACATTAGAGTCTCTGTCTTCTACTGGGCATTTTTTTCAAGGTAAATAGAATATTACGTTTATGGAGTCCATATTTTGCATCAAGTATGGAGCCACGTATTTCACATATGCTAATTTCATTATAACTACTCTGTGACCAGGAGATTTCTATCCCAATTATGGATGAGGAAATTGAGTTTCAAATAGATCAACCCTTGCCAAGGTGAAAATAATGCTAAGCAGTAAAGCAAGGAATAGAAAAACAACGTCCAAAGTCTTTCCACCACTCTGCCAGTATCCCAAGAGACCTTTGGGAAATCTTGCATTTATAAACAGGGATTCTTGTCCATTTGTCATATGAAAATCCTTCCTTGAGCTGCAAAAAGATAGGCTTGAGAACTATCACCAGTGTTTGTAGAGCATGGTATCACAACTACTATGTTACTAAGAAAAAGTAACCAAAGTATAAAATCATTTGCAACATTTTTGTTTCTTCCTTTAAATAGTGAGAAATGCATTCTTGCTACTTTGTAATATTTTTATTAAAGAATGGAGGAAACCTGCCTCTCAATGACGCAGATGAGAAAGGAAAAGTTAAAACTGTATGTCATCACTGTTCTCCTGGGGAAGCAAGGACCAGGCCTGTCCACAAAATGTGATTATGGATAAACCTTCTTTTCTATTCCTTCTAAGACAAGAGTATCCTTTCTTCCAATTTCTGAAGTAAAAATAAATAAATCTTATGGGGAGGGGATGGAGAAGCCGAGCAGATAATATCTAATTATTACTTAAAAGCACTTAGAGGAAAATTAGTGGGACTCTATTTTAGAATATCTTTGAATGATGTCCATCTCTTGAAGTTTGGAACCCTTCCCTTTAATGTCTTATAGGCAGAACCGACAAAGGTATTGGCAAATGTGCAGAAAAAAAGCACATAGCATGCCTGAGGTTGTTTATCTTTAGAATGATTTGCTTACAAGGTTGGCCCTTGGCTAGCATCTGGAAAATTGTCTGGTTTAACAGTTTCCTACAATGATATAAAACTTCCTTTATATGATAAAAGTGGCTCTTATGCCCAGACTGTACACAAAATGTAGCTCATGCTGAGCACCTGTTTTCTTTCTGGGAGTCTAGAATTTCGGTATGTGCTGGGCAAAGGGTGTATCTTAGTCAATTCAGGCCGCTAAACAAAAAAACTATAGACTATGTAGCTTAAATAACACACGTTCATTTCTCACAGTTCAGGAGCTGGGAAGTGCAAGATCAAGGCACTGGCAGAACCAGTGATGGGTGAGGACCTGTTTCCTGGCTTCATAGATAGTCAACTTCTTACTGTATCTTCACATGGCCAAGAGAGATTATCTCTTTCATGTCTCTTCTTATAAGGGCGCTGTATTAGTCAGGGTTCTCCAAAGTAGGAGATATATATATATATTATATATATATAATTCCTCATATGATATATGAAGAATTGACTCATGCAATTATGGAGATTGAGAAATCCCACAATCTACCATCTGCAAGCTGGAGAATCAGAAAAGCCAGTGATATAATTTAGTCTGAGTCTCAAGGCATGAAAACCAGGGATCCAGTGGTATAAATCCCAGCCTGAGGGCAAGAGAAGATGAGATGAGATGTCCCAGCTCAAGCAGTCAGGTAGGGGAAAAAGGGGCAAATTTCTCCTTCCTCCACATTTTTGTTCTATCCAGGACCTCAGACAGATTGAATGATGCCCACCCACCTGGGGAGAGCCATCTATTATACTTTACTGGGTACACTGATCCAAATGCTAATCTCATCCAGAAATAACCACACAGAGACATCCAGAAATAATGTTTAATCTGGGCACCCTGTGGCCAATCAAATTGACACATAAAATTAACCATCACAGGCACTAATTCCATTCATGAGGGCTCCATCCTCAAGGCCTATTTATCTCACCAAAACTCTACCTCTAAATACCTCTAAATACACATTGGGGATTAGGCTTGAACATATGAATTTTGGGGGACACAAATATTCGGTCGATAGCATGCAGTCCACACCCTACGTGACCAGCACTCGATAAAAAACTCTGGACACTAAGTGTCTAATGAACAGGTAGACAACACTTCACACATGTTGTTACATGGAGTAATTAACGGAGGAATTAAGCACATCCTGTGGGACTTTACTGGAACAGAGCTTTTGGAAGCTTGTGCCTAGTTTCCTCCAGACTTTTCCATTTTGTGTTTCCAGTTTTGCTTTATATCCTTTCAGTGTAATAAATCGTATCCATGGGTACAACTATACACTGAGTTCTAGCAAATCCCCACACTGGGAGTAACAGTTAAACAGGAGCCCCTTACATTCCAGCTGCCAAGAGTTTCTCAGTAGCTGGAATGTTAATCCTGTAAATGCGGAGTTTACTACTAGGGGTTTGAGTAAACTTGCAATGAAAAAAAGAAAGTTTTGTTTTAATGGCTTTTATTTTATTGCTGTTGCACCTGAATATATGATAAAAACTGATGTAAAATATTATATGCTTGTAATTTCATAAATGCTAGAGGGATTATTCTAATTAGGGAAAGCTACCCAATAAAAACTGTTAGTAGAAAACATAACCTTCTCGTTTTTGCTGCTGGTGGATGAGTTACAATTTAAACTCACTGAGTATTTGAATACTGAGATCTCCATAACTGATGATGTTTGCTATGCTTTTTGCCTGTTGGACCCTATGGGAAAAGGTAGACAACATAGAAGGAGAGAGAATCTCCACCAAAAAATATACTTTTTGAACTTTAAAAAGCAATTTTCTCTTGGGTATATACCTAGGAGTAGAATTGGTGGCTCATATGATAATTCTATGTTTAACTTTTTAAGGAACCACCAAATTGTTTTCCATAGTAGTTGTACCATACTACCTCCTATTTTTGTTGTTGTTATTATAGCCATGCTCATGGCTGTAAAGTGCTATCACATTGCGGTTTTGATTTGCGTTTCCCTAATTACTAATGATGTTGAGCTTCTTTTCATGTCTTTATGGTCATTTGTATATTTTCTTTAGAGAATTTTCTATTCAGGTCCTTTGGCCATTTTTAAATTGGGTTATTTATCTTTTTGTGGTTGAATTTTGAGTTATTTATATAATAATAGACCCTTATCAGAATATATGACTTGCAAATAAAAATAAATAAAAAGCAGTTTTTAGTTTGCTAATAATAAGTTCTTGAAAAAGCAGATGTCTGACCCTTGAAGGTTGATGATTTTTAAGCTTAATATGCATATTTTTGAGTAGGTCCATTTGGGCTCTAAAGCTGACAATATAAAAAGGTTTTTAAAAAGCTGCGCTTGTCACTTTGACTTAGAACACAGTTATCTGGACCTGCAGCCTCTTGGCTTTGCTGCTGCTAAAGAAGAAAAGTTGCTAGCTTTTTTGGAATCCTGAATTCACAGATCCTAACTGCCTGGAACTGATGCTAAACTAAAACCTGATACTATCGGTGATGGATGATTCCAAGCTCCAAAAGTGGGCATAGGCTTAATGAACAGAATTCGGACTCAGGGACTATATAGCAGATTAGCTTATGACACCCCTCTGTGCGGCCATAAACTACAAAAACATCATGGATGCTGAATGACATTGGGTCATTTGCATGGGATCATTTTAACCCTACCTGCTGTGGGGACCAGTTGCACCAGAAATGATTGATCACTAGAAACCTAACTGTCCGCATCATGGGGAGTAGGACCCCCCCCCACCATCCACTTCTGACAGACAGGACTCTTGGCCCCTTCTCAGGGATATCTCACTGCTGTTAACTTGTGTTCAATTTGCCAGATTATTTGAAATTTGCAACAATGGACTGACAGTCTGACTCTGCTTTACTTACCTCTCTCCTTAGTTAGGTAGTTTGCAGCTAAATGCAGCTGTCTCCAGACAGAGATTGAACTTTTCTGAGATGCTTCCTGAATAAATGATTAGGACAAAAAGAATGGGGGTTATGTAAACACATTCTGAAAATTTTTGGAAATTCAGGATTTTGTCCTAATCAATTTCAGAACATAATGTGTTTTTTTCTAGTCAAGTTACATAAAAAATTATTTTC